TCAAATTCGAGCAATTATGCGGGCCACGGCAGTGTGTTTCTCTCCGTCGCTTTTAGAACCAATCCCTGCCTCGTGATGTTTCCCAAATTTAAATGACTTCCATCTACCAAAATCAGCTGCTCTGCCAGCCATTTAACTAAAACTTGCTCTTCATGTTTCGACCAGTTGCTGTATCTTCTTCAGACCGAACTGTGATCACCGTAGGAACAGGGTAGGAACAGGCACAGGTTCTGGTACTGATGGCTCGGAGACGAAGAGCAGAACATGATTAGTTCAGAAACAAGACGGAGTTACAGACTACCGTACTTATGGTTAGGTGCTAAACAAAACTTTTCGAACATTACTGCACTAGTATGCGAAAGAAACATCACGGAAAACCTGAGGAACCTGCTGATAAGCCTACTGATCGTAACACATTTCTGTACGATGTACGTTCAAATAAGCTGCTTATTTGAGTTGCCATCTCAGAAAAACTACTCTGGAGTAGTTTCTTTATTTTGCTTATTCTGGGCGGGATATGCATGTTCTGCATATTTGCGTCACGCAAAATGGACCAACTGCCGTAAATGGAAGGTCGTTGTGACGTGAACAAAAGTGCTTATCTGGGTTTGCATATTTATATTTGTGTCCCATAATTATCAACACGGACCAGACATACACCATGGTGACAGGTGATACGCCCATTCTCACATGAAAACCGTTTAGGGCTGCAGGATATTTGACCGGAGCGCAGCGAAGGTCCTCTAATTCAGCCAAAATTAAAAAGTGTCTGTCTGTCTGTCGGTTACGGAAGTAAGAAATGACGTCATACAAGGAAGTAAAACGGCGTCATATAAGGAAGTAAAAAATGATGTCATATGATGGAGGAATCGTAGAAGTTTGGGATAGAAAAGCTTAACTTGAGCGAAGGAAAAAAGGAAGCAGGGGACGGTGGGACTTGACTGTAGTGCGTTTTCGTTAGACGGCTACTACAATGCAGAAAACAAAGCCCCATCGACTCACAGTAGCACTTGTGCCGTGACTAGAAAAATATGGAATCCACAGCTCGGGGGAACAAATTAATATGGAACACTAAACGCTTTCTGAACTAACCACACTGGAACATCAAAAAAGGTACATTGGGGCAGACGCATTAGTCTTGGGACTTTTGGCCACCCAAGAATGAATGAAAATAATAAACCAACCAGCTTTTGAAAATATAAATCTGATTTAGCAGCGGTGCCGTGGACTACCGCACGCGTGCCTTATTTTAAGCCGTGTTGAGAAACTGATCATTTCCACGGCTAGCGCAATGTCCGCATATCAGAATTTACGGAAATCAGCGCAGTGTAATAGCGTGTAGCGAATGCCGTAATTGTCACGTATGGTACGAACGGCATAATCTTATTATGTCCGCTCGGGACAGCAGCAGACAACCAACTAAACACTAAACATGGCAACAATAACGGACAACAACAAGACCGTTGCTACGGCACATTAGCCATAGGCCATTATCCATTTCACGAGATACTCGTACAACCTTTGTACGAGTACTTAACATACACTACACTCGCCCTTCACTTCTGAAAACCAAAAGTACAAACACTTCATTCACTTTGTACGTACGTATTCATGCCTCATGCGCATCATCATTATGCAAACACATGTTAGTACGTAACTTATCATTGCAATGAAACTTTCGTACTTCCCTAGCAACCTTTGCTGGTCCTTACGAAAAGTTCGCCACTGCGCTCTCGTACGGTACGCCACTGCGTCCTTCACAGGCAACGCCCTTCGGCAGTTCCTGGCACTCTCCTTTTCATGGAGGAACTTCCACAGGCCACGCATTCCTCCATTGGCTTCCTGTCGGACGACTCATTTTCACTCCGCAGGTCACGCCCTTTACTGGCATCCTGTCGGGATAACTCCATGTCACTCTTCTCGCCCTTCGGATGGACAACCGCTCTCTTCTCGGTTCCATCTCTGGCTTCTTTTTGAGGATAACTCTCTCCTCCATTGCTTCCTCCGGATGGCACTGGCCATTCATTACTCTGGCTTCCATCACGGGATTCACTCGGCCTTTAGGATCGTCCTTCTGGACCTTTCCTCTTTCTGGCCTTCTTTCAAGCATATTTGACATCCGCTGTCTCGGATGGAGTGGTCTGCACCTTTCGCTGTCGCTCCGCTCGTGGTGTCGCCACTCTGGGCACATACGCCCTTCTGACACAAAGCTACATCCCTTTCACGCCATTGTCATGTATTGAGCGAACGGCATATTCTTTTATTATGTCCGCTCGGGACAGCAGCAAACAACCAACTAAACACTAAACATGGCAACAATAACGGACAACAACAAGACCGTTGCTACGGCACATTAGCCATAGGCCATTATCCATTTCACGAGATACTCGTACAACCTTTGTACAAGTACTTAACATACACTACAGTAATCATCGAACTTGTGGCACAGGGCAGCGAGAATTTGAACGCCCAGTTGCAGGATTCCAGGTGCGCTTTAAGGGGGTGACCTTATCGAGGGAGTGTCACGAATCCGGTAATTACGGTACGTGCAATTTAATTTGGCACCCCAACGCTTACCAATTACAATTTGGCCGCTTACATTTAGGCTGCGCTGATTTCGACCAAAGTTTTCGGCGGAGACCTAAGGTTTTTCAAAGAAAATTCATGCAAAAATAAAGCGTAGACAAGCGTTGGAACATCAGAAAACACAAGAAAAGACAAGCTAAGAAAATATGTCACGCAAATGAGCAGCCGCTGAATTGAGATCTAGCCGGAAGGAGCATCAGTCGAAATGAAGGTTAAGCGAAATGATCGGCCCGCGCTCAAGCTCGCACTTGGACTTGGACTGCTAAAACTTGGAGATGGACCACACTTGGACTTCATAACTTGGACTTGTACTTTCAAACTTGGACTTGGATTTCTCAACTTGGACTTCTTAACTTGGACCTGGACTTCTCCTTGGAAAAGACTAGTATGCTCAGAAACTTAAGAGACCTAAGAAACCTAAGAAACCAAAGAAACCGAAGAAAAGTCCAAGTTTAGAAGTCTAAGTTGTAAAAGTCCAAGTCCAAGTTAAGAAGTCCCATTTAGAAGTCCAAGCAAGTTAAAAGTCCAAGTCCAAGTTAAGAAGTCCAATTTAGAAGTCCAAGCAAGTTAAAAGTCCAAGTCCAAGTTAAGAAGTCCAATTTAGAAGTCCAAATCCAAGTAAGGAAGTCGAAGTTATGAAGTCCAAGTGCGGTCCAAGTACAAGTTTTAGTAGTCCAAGTCCGAGCTTGAGCACGGGCCGAAACGATCGCATGTGACCAAATGTAACACGGCCGTAATTAAACGCGAAAAATGTTCGATAAAATGCACAAAAGTGTTTTTTACTGCTACGCCGCTCGGTGTCGGCTGCAGCAATATTAGCCTCAACACATACAAATGGAACGCTTTTCTATCAGAACGATATTTGCCGTTTCAGGGTAGTCGTTTTGTGTGATTGGATTTATCGGGCTTTCCCGCGCAAAAAGTAATTTCTAATATCGCTTATAACATTTTGCTGATAAAATTGCGTACTATTGCAGTGATTTAAAAACCGTTTCCCATGCATGCGTTTGAAAAATTAAGCCCGGCTAGCTTTGTTGTGCACCAAAAGCTGTGGATGTTAGGTTCCCGTCCATTTACCGCAGTTATCATTTTTGATTTTATGTGTAATATTTCAGAAATTTCAAAAATACAAATACTAAAAAAGCCAGCCTGCTATTTGAAGCGATTCACAAACGCAATCCATTTTGTTCTACACCCTGTTTTTTAAGCAAACCAAAACAGCAAAAATTTATGTAACAAGCCAAAACTGAGGCGCGCTGCTAAGCCACCGGAAAAGCAAAAGCTGCGCTCCGGTCTGCCAATGAACCAATCGGTGCATTTTCCTAGTATTACGTCCTTCAGTATTCCTATCCGAGCAAACATCCCGTGGATGGGTTTGTTTCCTTGACGGGAACAAACGTAGTCACAAATCTTTCTGTTACCGGACATAGAAAGGTTACGTAATCGTGGTCAGACTGGCGATCGATCCCACGCAGGAAATTTCATTATCGAGTTTCGTCGCCCACAGGCGGCGGTCTGAACGGATACTTGTCTGACTGCTGCTCTCTCTCTTCCACTACAACTTAAAACAGTGCATTACTGATTACTTGATTACCGAAACAGCGAAACTCCGTTAGCACTTTCTTCTTTATTAGCACAAGCCAGTTAGAATACATGAATTGGCAACAGATAGAGAATTACAATAACAAAATTTCTTCTAATTTATCCGCGCCTTCCATTGTCCCCAGCACGGAAGCCGCGTTGCCTCGCTGTATTTCGATCGACAGACGTTGACGTAAGAATTCGTGTGAGCGAGGTTCCCCGGTGTGTTGCTGTAGCCGCTTGCCGATTTCCTTTATTAAAGCAGATGCCGATTTTCCCCAGGGCCCGAACGTTTCAAAGGCTAGTGCTGCAAAAATGTATCTGCCTACAAGATACGCATAGAGTCTGGCTTTCCTGTCTTCGGCTTGGGCCGCGGCGGATCCGGCAACTGAGGAAGTGGACTTGATATGGGACGAGGCGACAGTGTCGACGCAGGTGACATCCCATGCCAGACACATACCACGTTTCCAGGCAAAGGTCGTACATCCGTCTGGGCGACGTTCGGACGTATGGGATGTGCCACGAGGTTCGAGTTTTGCTGGAATGCCCGCCGAAACCAGTGATCGGCACACGATGCTGTTCAAGGCACCGTGTCGTGCATGCCTCCCGGCCGAAAACGAGCATGACAGTCCATGGTGGCCGTATACATCTACAGGCTTGCGGCATTTGGCACATGCGTGTGCTTCACATATGACTGCGCCCAGCCTAAGTCCGACTGATATCTTGAGGGTGTCGTCATCTAAGAGATTTCCGATATGCGCCGACGGCAAAGTTAGCACTCAGCACTCTGTCAAAATTGGCGAATTTTACGATTAATTTGTCTTGTCTGAACTGTCGGCAGAGCATCAAAGCTTTAATTTCCCATAAAAAAATTATTAGCAACTTCATTTTTTTTCGAGTGTGGGCTGTAACTCAACCGTACTGCGTGGATTACTCAACATGTCGCAGACCTTATCTCCACCAAATGGAACCGAGGTCTTCAGTCCCCCACGACGGGGCGCGCTTGATTTGATCGCGGATCGGATGGGCCGTATGCTGGAAAGTGGAGATTTGTCCGATGTGCAGTTTGAAGTGGGCCGACAATTCGGACGGACGAAGATCTTTCGAGCACACAGGTGAGAATAAACAGCGTACCTTTCCTTTGATTGCTTCGTCAGTACGAGTACTCAATGTGGGTAAACCGTAAACTTGGGCCCTATCGGATATCTTGGATTCTATAAGATAGAACAAGAAGATTTTGCCAGGTTTTATATTGCAGATATGCGCTAAGCAGCAGCAGCGATGTGTTTTACACCATGTTTTACGGGAGTTTACCGGAGAAGTGTAGCACGCCCATCGACATTCCCGATGTTCCTGAAGATGCATTCGAGATCATGCTCAAGTGCGTCGAGGCTTTGAGCTGGTTATAACGGTTTTCCGATTGACAAGATGATTTAATTTACCTTCAAATGAACAGTTCGTGATGCATTTATAGGTATATCTACACGGATAAGGTGGATGTAGACGGGGATGATGTTTATCCTACGATGTTGTGCGCTGACAAGTACGACCTGCCTCGATTGACAGATCACTGCTTCGGCTACATCCTGACTGAGCTGAGCACTGACACCTGTTTGCACCATCTGGAAAAGGTGTGCGTTACCTTTACGGTTTTACCAAACCAGTTTATCGCCAAAGTGCTGCAATTCTGAATAGTTTCAGCATCGTTATTCTAGGCGCTTTTGTGGGGTGCACCTGCCGCACATATCGTGGAAAATTGTCTGCACTTTGTGGATGTACACTGTCAAGAGGTCTTGGGGTCTAAAGGTTTTACTGAAATTAAAAACAGCACGCTGCGAAGGATTGTGGAGCGCGACACGCTATTTGTGGAGGAAAACATAATCTGCACGGCTGTAAACAAGTACGTTAGTGGCGGCGTAATGCTTTGCACACGACGGTTTCGTGTCCCGACGGTAAATTGGCTGGACTTCTTAGGAAATGGAGACTACTTGGTTCCCATCAAATCGCTATTTCAAATTTGCAGTTGGGCAGTGGCTGCCTGCGCCCGCAGTAATTCAGAGCCGTCGCCGACCAACCGGCTCCAGGTGATGGGAGAGGTTTTTCGCCTGATACGATTCCCGCTGATGACGGACAAGCAACTCGCAGACGGTCCCGCTGGCGTAAGTTCTAGTTTAGACTGACTTGTTGCGCTCGGCTCTGTTTGAAAATCGAATCACTTTTTCAGCTGTTTTTTGTAATGATCGAGTACAATGAAAAATGAAACGGAGCGTGAAATATTGAGATATTTATTTTTGCCATAATTTTCGAACATTTTTCTTTCTTCAGCGTTGAAACAGGTAATCACATTAAGTAAAACACCAGATGATTACATGGGGTTGCATTAAATAATTACATTCAGTGTTTTAGATAATTACATATTTCACCAATGTTTTACATAGAGCTAGCTACCTTCCATTGAGCATCATTCTTAAAAAATACAATTACAGCAGACGACGATGTACATGTAGTGTTGCTATCATGCAGCCGTTGTATTATCAGTTATGCAGCAGGCGCAGGTAACAGATCCCGGTTTGTATATATATAGAGCGGTTTGCTGACCCCATCAACGTTAATGGAAATCTACCTTCATAAGCACGCCACGATGCAACATCCGGTGCCATTCGGCTTATTCCCCACGCAACCCCGACAGGCCCCGTTAATCCATGTGGGAGGCATGGAATTCAAGCACGAGGAGGAGATTTTCATGGAGGAGGGATCGCACTGGTACCCGGCCGAAGTGTTAGGAGCCCATGGATCGGCCGTCGTCGGATTCTCTCGGCGCTTGGATAAGATGGTCATGCGGGAACCAGAAAAGCTTATTCGTGTTTCGGACATCCTGACCCGTGGGCAAAAGGTCCTGTTGTGTGCGACGGGTCATTGGGGCCCCTGTACAGAGGGGACATACGTGGAGCCGGGTGTTGATGGTTGGCATGAGATCGATGCGGCAGGTCAAGAGCGAATGATGCAGCTCCCTGAAATAATCTTGAGCAATAGTCAAGTGGAAGCGTGGAAAAAGGTGAAAGCCGCCAGCATCAAAGGAAATTCAAGTGGAAGTTCTCAGCGAAAGCGTTCTCAGAATGCGGCTAATATTGTCTGATTTGTGGATTTGATCGCTGTCGCGGTTACTGTACTCCCTTAATAATACTTTTCACACTCCGAGTACAACATACTTAAGCTGTTTTGAATTGGATAGTTTTGTACGAGACTTCGTAAAACCATGAAGACATTAAAAAATGTGTTTGTCTGGAGGTTACTGTGCCCTCGTGAATGAGAAAGCCCATGGCTCTAGTTCGTCTTACAAGAAAGAAAGCCATAAGTTTCCAACAGGAAGTGCCTGTTAGTAATTTTATCATTCTTGTGATCGAAGCAAAGTAAGCGAGAGACTCCTTTAAACTAAAGCCGTAGATAATGGAACTACGGGTAGTGGATCATGACACACACATGGGAATGATGGGATACATTCAGGATATACTATTATCCTCTTAGTTAACCCAGGTAGTCTGGTAGATAGGGAATAAACAAATTCTGTTTTTGAGGTCAACCACGTACACGGGGAGAAATTCTGGAATTCGCCCACTTTCTGGGCAGAAATTATATGTAACCAGCAGAATGGTTACTTGACATGCGGGCTTGTTGTTTGTTTCGCTGCCTGTTTTTCTCGAGACAGCGAAAACTCGAACTGCAGCTCTGCGTTATTGATGCTCTTAAACTGCAATTCTACATTTGTACTTCCTCTTTAGGCGGCACTGGATGGCACGCTAAAGTTTGCCATGCCAGCAAATTAAAGAAACTAACCGAAACGCGGCATCCTCTGACCTTTCGAAATAGGGTTAGTTTACAAGCGGGAAAAAAACGTTGCGGTCAAGAATATCCACGCTTGCCTAAGCGCGCCAGCGCACGTAAGCGGGACCTGGGTGGTCTTCACATTGGGCACGAGTGACAGGGACCGATCAGTCGATCACTCACCTGAGTGACAAGTTCTCATCTGAGTAGCATCCTACAGACGGCGGTATGATTACATGCTCTTTTTCCGGCTGCAGTTTTTGTTTTCCAGCAAACAAGAAAGTTTTTGCCATTTGATGTGTTTTCGAGTTCGATTGTCGCACGACATAGAGCATCGAAGCTTCGGTTACCTTTGGTGTGGAAAATCCTGTTCAGACACTTGAAATCGTGAGTCCGACTTCATGTTGGTCTTACTTGCAATCGCCAACTGGTCGTGGAACTCGGAATGTCTTCATCGAACGGAGCCGCCAGTCCGCAACGGGAAGTACTAGAGTAGTAATGGGCTTGTCACGGGGATGAAACGGATGCAGTAAAGATTCAACTGATATGCAGCTCGAAGCAGGACGGCATTTCGGACCAGCGAAGATCCTTCGCGCGCACAGGAGAGAACACACAAGTAACAAAACTACGGCATCGTTCCTGTTTCTCACCATGTCGATGCTCCCATATTTTTGGTGGTTGATTGCTGTTCGAAATTAAGAATGATGGAACCCTTGCGCAGTTATGCTTTGTACGGCTATGCACAGGAAGATATTGCTTGATTATTGAATACTGCAGGGGTTTGCTAAGCAGTTACAGCGATATCTTCCACACCATAATTTCATGACCTTTGGCTATTGTGCACGAAGCCGGTGTTGAAATCGCGTGCAGGTATCTTGATGTGTACCGGAAACCTCATTGTTCAAACGGTTAAATACAAAGATTAATTTTGATACCGCAGCAGTCTTGTCTTGTCCGATGGGATTGACAGGAAACCGAATTATCAGAAAAACCAGCAATATAAAAGTCCGGACAATTATTACATACCGCAGCTTAAACAATAGAATCGACTTCTACTTACAGTAACAATCGAATAACCCCGACAATAAATGACTTATGGTTTAAAATGCTTCCATACGATGATAACCTCGAAGTATAAGGCGGTTAATCTGGCATCATAATATATAGCATACTCACTATTACCTATAAGCTCAAGCAATGAAAATTAATGATTATGGTACTGTATCTGTAGCGAACAGTACGAGTAGACTCAGTAGATTACCTACAATCGAACTCCGCGAAAAATTACCATAACTTATGTTACTGCTTTGTGTTTGCGAACTCACCTCCCACGCACGTTCGGCACGATGTGCACTGTCTATCGACGCATGTGCCTTGACCACTACAGGGGTCCCGTTCATCTCTTTTTCGGCGCAGTTTGTTTATATTTTCATTTTGTATTTATATTCATTCCGAATCATTCACACTTTATGAAAACAGTTACAAAAACCGTAAAACATCGTTACTGCGAGGTCGCGGTTTGCAGAGATGAAGTTGAAGTTCTCGTAGGATCTTTAAAAGAACACTGCCGGAAACACTGTGTATTCCTTTATTGCGCTGCGGTATTCGGTGATACTCGAAGCCGCCTTATAATTTACAAGAAATACATGTAGCGTCGATTTCGCCGCCACATTTGTTTGTGGTCTACGGTCGCAGATTAAATTCTGATTTAATTATCAGACCGCTCGCTAACTGCGCGGCGAAAACAATGGCATTGATTGTTTGGGTCCTTTTCCAAAAATATATACGGTAAACCTTCTTGTTTGAGGTGCTTGCACAAATTAAATATTGGAGACATTTAAAGTAAGCACACAAGCTGAGGCCTCACGCTGATTCGCTGAACGATATTCAGATGCCGCAACATGCAGGTTTAAAAGTTAAAGTTGTTTGTTCAAGTTTAATTACCTCTCATAAACACCGAACACCGCTCATAATTAACACTCATAAACACCGTTACTCCTTAGCTCGCGTAGGAGCTAAGGAGTAACAAAAAGCGGGCTGCGGAAAGAGACGTGAAGGATCTCGAGCGCAACAATACAGCCTGATATGATCGGAAATCCGGTTTCTTTTGACGAACACCCGAATCGTGCGGCCTCAGGCCCCGGTATCGTTGCTGAATCTTCGCGCAGGTAACGCTCGATAATTTTTCATAACTCCGAAGTGACAGCGAATAGGCAATTTTCAGTTCTAGGGCTCCGTCTCCCGAAATCGCTGTTCAGAGAGGCGTCAAGCGCGCGTGCCGATTTGCGTATGGCTTCGATTATTTGGACGACGTCGGAAGCGAGCACAGGCGGCGGGTGTATTATCGACGCAAATCAAAGCGAGCGGTCACGAACGACTCCGAAGAAAATCTTACATACCGTGAAGACGGCGGTCCGTCGGCATCCGGATCTTCTTCGGAATCTTCATCGGATAATGCAAGACTCACAGGAAACGAGTTAAAAACCATTGTGGGAAAACTATCAACGAAACTTCGTGCAAAACTGGATTACTACGTTTAGAATTTTTGACTTTGTGAAGTAACGTGCCAAGAGAAGTATACATCATACATACGCTCTATTTCGTTGCCAAAATATCTAGGCGTCTTCGCTGAAAGCCCCACACCGGCATTCTCGCGCAGCTGCCGATGGCCCAAGCCAACGAAAGCCGCAGTGCCGTATACTGTCGAGAAAGCTACTGAATCTGGTCAACTCGGCACAACTTCGTATGAAATTGCTGATTTTGAAATCAATGCAGATGAGCTAAACCAACAGCATCTTCGCTCGGAGGTTAACGAAATCGGAGAAATGAACAGGCTTCCTACGCAGCACGTGGAAACGATTCTCATCATACCACCGCCAAAGTTCCTACGCATAGTTCGTATAATCTCCCAAGCCATTTATTCCGAACTACGCTGGGAAGTCCCGGCACTTATCGCACTGCAAGAATCCGCGGAGACGTTTATGATTAAGGTGTTCTCAGACTGTATGGCTGCGTCTGATTACGCCGAAAGCGTCTCTGTTAAGGACAGAGATTCTGCCCTGGACGCTAAGCTCACGGAATCATATCGCATTCCAGGGCCATCGACAGCCCGATGTGTTCCGCGTGAGCGGGAAATGGCTTCGGCATCTCATCCGAAACCCCGCGGACCGGTGCACGCCGCACGCTTCACATCCGCTCCTGTGGCATAGTGAGCCCTGATCTTTTAAAATGTAGAGAAGCGGTCAGTCTCGCCATTCGCGGTTGTAAATTCGATGCTGTCGCTCTGTCCAAGGACCCGCGTCATGAGACGAAACTGCTCTTTTTTGACGCCGGTTGGGATGCTGTTATTTGTGCATTTTGAGGGAATATATCAAAGGCGTTTTAGCATTTTTTGTTCGTTGTGGATAACTATGGCAAATATGATTTATGAAATATAATATGTAGCTGTAATGCATAGTGCAAGTACACGTACGTACAAGTGCAACGATGTGCATTCTCGTGAAGGTGGACAATGTCCGATGTCCATCGTGCGTAGCAACTGGTAATGGAAGTACCAGCGTTGTTACGTTATGTGAATTTAGATGGATTTTGCTCTGCCAGCGGGCACGTAATAAAAAGGTACTGTATTATGCCGCCGCTACAAACATACCAGTAAATGCTTTTGTTATTACTGTGGCTTATTGCCTCGTAGAACTACAACCTTCTCGTTATTCCTGTCGACGATGCTCAACAGGAACACACAGGTAACGAGTACTAACTCGCGCGGTGCGATGTAACGTCGTTGTGATAGCTACGACTTCGAAAATCGAACGTATGTTTTATATCAACTATTAGGTAACCAGCATTTGGATTTGTAGTTAGTATTACGGTTATGGCTGTTCGGTATGATTGTGGTGTCTGCAAGCAGGAAACCCATAAACTGTACACATTACAGATAGGCACATATATTACAGCACAAAAAAGAATCAAGACACATAATCATTATCTTTTATTTAAGTTGAAAATGGGCCAAATGGCGTAATAAATAGACTCATAAGGCAGGCATTTCAGATTGCAGGTTGTCAGCAGTGCATCCGGAGGACCGGATGATGAGCACTCCGCGTTCCAGTAGTGATAAGACAAAAACCGTTAAAACAACACGGGATAAGTACAAGATACGACTTAATCGCCTTTGAAAGAATTTAGGTAGTAGCATATAAGTTTTACCGACTAATAACTTTTCTAAATTCATACTTAGTTGATTTATACCCCAGTAGATCCACTAGATACAAAGCTGAAAAGTGCCAACAACCAACATGGCCCATACACTGCATACATTCATTTTCCAAGGAGAAATTTGAGGACTGCAGGACATTGTCTGTGTCTTCCTTGATTATTCCTATCCGAGCAAACCTCGTACGCCTAGTTCCCTTGAGGACACAAATCATTCTGGCTTCCCTGGAACCAGATCACCTAACCGTCAGACAAGCGATGACACGCAGGAAAGTCGATGAGCGACTTGTGTCGCCCACAGGCGGCGGTCTGAATGGATACTCGTCTATTAAAACGCGTGCTCCATTTCACTTTTCATTTCTGTCTTGCTGAGTCCAAATTCTTTGCAAATTTTCATTTTCATATTTTTTTTGATTGATTTGTATTGTCATTTTGTGTGAACAGTTCACAGAGCATCTAGCTTTGATTTTCCTGTAGAGAAAATTGTGCAAAATTAGCAAATTCAGCTTTTTGGGATTGTGGGCTATAGCCAAGCCCGTACTGTGCGCTGATCTCGATATGGCAGACGATTCTTCTGCATCAAATGGAACTGGGGCCTCAAGTATGCCACGGCGAGGCGCACTTGATGGGATCGCGGATCGGATGAAGTGGATGCTGAAAAGTGGAGATCTGTCCGATGTGCAGTTTATAGTAGGACGAGAGTTCGGAACAACGAAGATCTTTCGAGCACACAAGTGAGAATACATTCGTATGGTCGTTGAATGGTCACTGGTGCTCTATATTCCCTCGCACTGTTATGGAACTTTGGATATTTTTTCCGTAAAAGAAAATGTTGCAGGACTTAACATTGCAGATATGTGCTAAGTAGCAGCAGTGATGTGTTCTACACCATGTTTTACGGGAGCCTGCCCGAGAAGTGTGACACTGCCATCGATATTCCCGATGTGCCTGAAGATGCCTTCGAAATCATGCTCAGGTGCATTGAGAATAACATCGAGTTGAAATGATTTGCTAATTGACACTGGCAGGTTGGCTCCAGCTATGAGTTTACGGTGCATTCTGCATTGTACAGGTATGTCTACACGGATAAGGTGGATGTCGATGAGGATAATGTTTACCCAACGATGGTGTGCGCTGACAAGTACGACCTACCACGTTTGGGGGATCAGTGCGTCCACTATGTCCTCACTGAGCTCAGAGCTGGCACCTGTCTGTACCATGTGGAAAGGGTGTGCATTACCAAACCACTTTCGTCGCCGAAATGCTTAACTTAGAATTATAATTAATATTTTCTTTTCCATGGTTTTTCTAGGCCCTTATGTGGGGTGCACCTACCGCACATATCGTAGAGAGTTGTCTGCACTTCGTGGATGTACACTGTGAAGAAATCTTGGAGTCTGAAGATTTTGCTGAAATCGAACACAGCACACTGGAAAGAATTGTAAAACGCGACACGCTTTTTGGGGAAGAAAATCTTATATACACAGCGGTGAATAGGTAAGCACTGTTCGAATTTCCTTTCGTTGTATAGACTGCAACATATTACGTTAATTAGACGTTGTGACGTGTGGGAGTAGGATCACACGCCGGGATGTACGTACGGATGCTGACTGTCCGCCTTCCACCTGCAACATAACAAGATAATCTAGTCAATCAATGCTGTGATTTGCTATTCTCTTTACTAGCAGTATATATGATGTCATAACGCAGAGTCTATATAAGTTCCTGGTTGTCATTAATATCGGCAGCAGTCGCTATTTTGACTTCTAGAGACTGTTTCTAATTACGATTTCCTTGTGTTGTGAACTGTGTTGTGAATTGGATAAAGAGACAGCAATACTTGTTCCTTCTGATGTACATGATCGTTCCCGGATTATTGCATAGAATACAGGTTTGCTCGTGACACAATCGTCTCTAGCTCTTGCCGATCCTCACAGAACTTGCGACCGAGATTATAGTTAGTCTTCTTCGCCAGGGATTCCTGATCTGTGTTCCTGATTCGTTCGTATTTCCGCCGTAGTTATTCTGTTACAGTTTGAGATGAGAGTTGCCTACCGATTGAGCATTACAGGCGTGGAAGAGTAAAGATTGTTCATGGATCCTTAACCGGCGTGAACGCTTATACACGACATGGCGCCCACCGGTGTTCTTTAATTTTCCCGATGTAACAGAAAATTATTGGTGGAAAGTTTGATGTTAATTTATTTGTAAAGTGGTCCGTACAGAAAGGCGTCGAACCGCAAAGGTACGCCGAAGGAGGTCAGCGTTCCTGATCTGGCCTAATTTAATTAATTTTTGGCGAGCTTCCTCGCAAATGGTGAGCTTCCTCACGGCTGAGCTTCCTCGCCAAGTAAATTAAAATTATTTAAATCGGACCGTAGAAAAAACAGTCGAAACCTTAAAGGTCGTCTGTGCGCATAAAGCGGTATTTTGTGGGTAATTTCCGGGTTGTCTGCGCAAAGCAGTAACCGCGGTGAATAAACTGTAATCAGCAGTGTCAGTGTGCCTGGCCTGCAGATAGATCAGATAGTGTGCACCGAGCCATTGTCAGTAGCTAGGTGAGATAACGATCTCCAGCAGCTCGATAAAGGCAAGCCGCAAGCGGTAGCCAGAATCAGCAGCTAGAGATAGTTGACCGTGAAAAGGTAAACACCGGCAAACGGTGATTGACCTGTGAAGTTAAGCTTACGGCAGCACGCAAAGTGCAGCAGAGTAATTTTAACAACTATTTTAACAGTCGAAACCGCAAAGGTCGGCTGTAATCAATTTTTCGCAGAACAGTTCAAACCTTAAAGGAGAACTGTACAGCGAAATTGAGTTGCACAGTTGCAATTCTTTTGCGTTACGGAAACAGTAGCACAATAGTTACTGTACTTACCGTGACAATGTCTGATCCAGAAAACAAAAGGAAGGTACAATAAGTTCCGAAGACAGCAATAAATGGCCCATATGAAGCAGCGCCGACGCAAACCAGATTCAAATTCAAACCCGATGAAATACCATTAGGTTTGATGTACTTTGCACTCAACGTAGAACCTCCAAAAGGTTCGAGAGCCTATTGTGGCAAATCGTGGGCGGATTTTCAAGAATTTGGGAAGTCGGTGGATCCAAATAAAAGGGCCCCATTTTATTACAATGCATGGTATGAGGCTGAAGGATGTATCCCTGAAGCCTATCTGGATATTACAGATGATCAGTTCAAAGAAGCAGTGAAAAACGCCTATAGATGGCTTCCCGGATATAAGAAAAATGTCGAAGATCGTAGACAAGCGGCTATCACAGCGTCTGCGGCAGCTGCAAAAATAGCTGTTAAAGCAAAAGAGTCGGTTTCAGACGAACGACCTAAAAGAGCCGTAACGGCAAAAGTCAAAACTAGCGTAAAAAAGTCGAGCAAATTACCCGAAGTGAGCCGAACACAGAGTCGCTCAAATTGGTGGAACCGTTGTCCGAGGAAAGCTTGCTAGACAAACAGCTCCCTCCAGATTTTGATATGGATGAGTCGGACAGTCGATTAGAAGATGACACACCGGTTCACGTGGCTTTTGGTGAAAATGAGAGCGCAGCTCCAGAGGCATCTGCAAGAAAAAAGAGCATTATGGGTGGTGTGATGACTTTTCACCCATCACAATTAAAATTACACGATTTTGTATCGGAAAAAGATTTCGAACAACCCGACGAAGATTTCCTTAACAAAGCGAAGGAAGTGGACGACATGTTGGCAAGCACACAAACCGATCAGGACGTGGGATTAGTCGCTCGGAAGACGATGCCCGTGCTACTCCAGGGTCTGCGTACATGGATAGCAACTACAAAATTAAAAGTTGATGAAATGGGAAACTCGATGTCTTTAGACGCTCGAGTTGAAGCAGAAAGAAATCAAAAGTTGAAATTTCAAAATGATTATAATGAAATGCGCATTAAATTCGAGACAGAACAAACAGAAAATGATCGGTTAACAAATGATTTACGGATCGCGAGCGATAATTTAACCCGGTTAAGGAATGCTAATAAAAATGCGCAAAATGCTTTCGACAATATGAAGAATGATCATGATGCATTGAAAGACTCAAATCGGCTTTTAGAAAAACAGTTGGAAGACGTTCAGAGAGAGTTGTCAGTTGCAAGAACTACTATCGATGGTTTTAAAGCACAGACTCTCCCGGATACAGCGAAGCAAGTGACAGATTTGGAGCTGAGACTGACGAAGGCTCAGAGAGATCTAAATGCGGAAAAAGATGCGCATAAGTTAACCAATAAAAACTTGGTGGATGCACAAAACTTATCTCAGAAATTGTCCAAAGATTTGGATGATGAAAAGAAGCGCGCCAAAGATAGGGAGGATACACTTCAGAGAGATCTCACGAACGCGAACGTTCAGCTTAATAAGCTGTCCACAGTTGGCCCGATGCATATCCCTAAAGAAAAGAACGAAGCAAGTCAGAAAGAAATTGACCGGCTTCAAGGCTTGTTGAATACTGAAAAAGAGAATGTTCGAAAAGTTCAAACTGAATTGGAGGAGTTTAAAGCTGCTGAAAAATGTTTTAATTGTGAAAAGGCTGTCAGAGCTAAGAACGAAGCACAAGCCGCTGCTTACGAAAAATCCGAAAACTGTAACCGGTTGTATGAAGAAAATAGGCAGCTCCGAGATCAGTGGTTTGAGAAACAAGAACAACTCATCAAAATGGAGGAGGAGTTCCGGCAAGCATGCACCCAACTCCATCAGTTCCGAAACCCAGGTGTTACTATTGGAGGCGGTCAGAGACTCTTTGAAAGGGTAGCGCCGGTAGCGACAGGGGATGTGCTGCGGCCTTTTCCATTCTCAGTATTTGACCCCCAAAACTTTTCGGTACCCAATGAACAGCCTGCAGTCGTTACTAGTAATCCGGCTGGCATTTTACGGAAACCTAGGCAGGAGTCACGGGTTGAATTTTCGGAAATTCACTCTGTACAGCGTTCATCCTCAGAGAGCCAGATTCCAAAGGAGACTGCGCCGTCTAATTTGAAGAAAAATCGGTCAACCGATTTACGTCAGGAGATTTTTAAACGAACAGCAGATGACACTAATCGCCAGACGTCGGGAATTGAAAACAGGGATGGCTCGGATATAGAAAACGAATTAATGGATGGCATACCGCTGGATGATGATCCCATCCGCCGTCCCAGTAGTACGGCCAGTAACGACTCCGTTTCCAGAAATCCTCAATTGGAAGAATGGCTAATTAAGCAAACCCAAGTATCAGATAGAACAGCGCTCACCCAAGAGAGTGTTGTTGAATTAATTGCGAAACTTGCGGAAAAAGGGAATGATAAAGCCGAAGGCAGTATGAAACTACTTACCTTCGACGATTCCCATCCGGAAAAAATTCAGAAGTGGCTCATGAATGTGGAACAGTGTCGTACCACAAACAATTGGAATGATGAGGTTACTTGTCGTAGAGTAACCGGTGCTTTCACTGGCGCATCCTTTCAATGGTTTGAGAAATTCTGGAAAGACAATAAAGGAAAGTCCTGGAATGACTTCTTTAAACCGGCAATTATCGGACATTTTAACGGCTCTCTTTCTAAAGCCGATATTCGTAGAAAAATGAACAACCGCAAATTGGATTTTTACGAGCCGGTTCGTGCTTACCTGGATAGTTTCCTTCCATGGTTTGAGGAACTAAAAATCTCGGATGAAGAGCAGGTTGAAGCGTTACTAGAGGGAGTCCAGGATCATCGACCAGCATGGTTCAGAGAAATATATAATGCCGCTCCTAAAAATTATACAGAATTTGAAAAGAAATTGCAAGAGTGCGAGAAATTATGGAAACGTATGAATAAAGACAAGAAAGTGCCTGATTTGACACAGAAAAATACTCCGGCAGAACCGAGAAGTGCTGGTAATAATAATAATAATAACTACGAAAATCGAGGCGGCCGCGGTGGCTCGTCTCAGAGAGCGAATTATTATCCGACTCGTGGAGGTCGTGGAAACTACGGGCATAATCGTGCAGGATATTCTCGTTCATACACGGAAACAGTTACCCCACAGCAACAAATTACTCCGGCTCCAGTACAGCCTGTTCTGAATGTTGCCCAGCCGCAGTTCGTCCCAGTCCCGGTGTACCAACAGCCACAATTTGTTGAACAGCAGCCGGTGCAATTTGCGCAGACATTTCAGCAGCCCATCCCGATGCAAGCTGCTATGCCGGTTCCCATGCAAATGATGAATCCGATGATGCCAGTATTTCCGCAACCGCAGCCGGTCCAAAATGTTCAGAATTTTGATCCACAGTATCAACAGGACGGCCCTGTAAATAATAATAATAATGGCGGTTATTATCGTGGAAATTATCGGCAAAATAATATCTATCGCGGAAATAACAATCAGCGTGGTGGTTTTAATAATAACAATAATCGTCAGCAGTACCAAAATCAAAATAATCGGCAAAATCAGCAGGCAGGTAGTCAGCCTCCTTTTGACGAACGAAACATTCAAAAGGAAAAATGGCGAACCA